GTATTCGCCAGATTTGGCCCCCAGCGACTATTTCCTATTCGCTGAGCTCAAAAAAATGCTCGCCGGGAAAAAATTTCGATCGGATGAGGAGGTCATCGCCGAAACTGATGCGTATTTTGAGGGTCAGCCAAAATCGTTCTACAAAACCGGCATCGAACGTTTGGAAAGGCGTTGGACTGATTGTATTGCCTTAGAAGGAAACTATATTGATGAATAAATTCGAATTTTGATGTAACTCTTGTGTTTTCTTTGCTAGACCGGGGACTTATTGACCGATGTGTTAGTAAACTCGAGCGCGCTCGGTAAAATGCTCATAACTTGGAAAGTACTTCGAATTTCGCTTTGAAATTTTGGGGACATATTCTTGAATAGTTATACTATTGATTTATGATGGTTCCAAAAAATCGATTTTTTGAAACCTCTAAACCTATTTCCCCCCTTAAGGGATGTGATTGCGTATTTCGATTACTATATAGTGAAATTACCATTATAATAATTCAAGTGTACCGCGTTGTAATTTGATGTCATACAAACGCGCTAATCGCGGTAGTTCGCATTGCTTTGTAACTTTTCAAACTCGGGCAATAGATGCTCATATATTTTCAAGCGTTAATAAAAATGATACAAATTTGCAAGCAAGTATCGGGAACATTAAATTGAATGATGGGCAATTATCTTACGTCAATAAAACCGGTAGTAAGTGATCAAAATAATGTGTTTTGTTAACTATAACTGATTTTTTCATCATGTCACTTCCAAAACTTCATATAAAGATCATAAAATGAAATAAAATATTGCGATCTTTTGAGGAAAGCATCCTGCAACGAATAACAGAACTAAGGTATTACTCTCTCACCAATTACATTACAATTTACTTTATACAAAAGTTATCTTGTGCATACATATCTATCTGAATATATCTGATATAATTCTAATTTTTATATTATTGTTGATGTTTTTTAGCAACATAATATACGCTAAAGCATAAGATGCTTTTGTATAACTATATTGGAGTAACAGTAGTTTCTTTGGAATTCCTATGACATGATTCAAGAAATACAGTCATCTGTATATACATATTGATTTTAATATTTGTACAATAAGGTAAAATATTTATATCATAAAGTTTATGTTTTTATCATTATATGACACAATATATTATATGTATATATGATCTTTAATGAAAACATAGAAAAGAATTTCTTTGTTATTGCTCCAATTTTTAATGTCATGTACCATTATTTCATATACCAATATGTAATTAGAGAGAGAGAAATATAATACATCATAATATAACTATATATTCTATAGATAAATAATACTACAAAATAAAGAATAAACAAAATTACTATATATTTATATAATACAAATAATCTTCTCAAGTAATTATATTTTAAAGATTTAGTTGTTAAAAGTAGGGTATATAGCTAGTAGGAATTATACACATTGATTTTTTAGTTGAATAGTAATTATCATAGATGGTTCTTCTGTGTCTTCTATAGCTTGTCGGAAAATTTGAGCATGTTGCCAAGCAATGTCATTTTTTCCACCAGATAATGTTGCACTTAAATTTAATCTCATAGCCTTTTCAACTTCTTTTGTATGAAAACTGCTACAGTGCTCAATAGGTATCACAATAGTTTTGTTGTCATTAAAAATAGCTTCAATTTCCCAAGATACACTAGCCCCATGAAATACTTCTGACTTAGCTTTCAAGTTAAACGTCTGTACACATAATTGGGGATTCATAATTTTAAAAGTCCATGTAACACGTCCATGTTTTGCTCCCTGAGATCGTGCTAAGTAAACAATTTTCCAGTCGTCCTCTTCCTTACGAAACACACCACCACATGTTGAATTTATCCCTTCTGACCACTCATTTATTTGTTCCAGAGGAGTGCCGTCGTTATGTACAACTTGGTATAAATCCTTAACGATGTTGTATCGCAATTCGAATGTTTGCCCATATTTGGAGATATCCCAAATATAATTCTTCTCTATATTTTTATTCTAACAAAAAAGATAAATTTAAATAATAAACAGTTAATTCTTTCTGGTAAATTTTTCGTAAAAATAAAATAGAGAGTAATGTGAAAATATTATTTAAGTATTTAATTCTAAAAGTAAAACAAGACAAGAAAGAATTTTCTCACATATTTAGGAAATTTATGTATACTATAGAGATGTGAATCAAAGATTTTTTATGTCAAATCAAATCGAATCTCAGATTTTAATTTTGAATTCGAATCGAATCGATGAAATTTCACCCGAGTCGAATCGAATGAAATCGAATCGAATTGTTGAAAAAATGTTTAATTAACGTAATCATTGAATTTAACATGAAAATAGTAATTTCAATATGAAAGAGATAACATTGATCATGTGATATTAATTCACTTTAAGGTAAGAGATATATAATATATAGTCGTTAAACGTGTATAGTTCCAACCTTGAAAGCTGCACAACATATATCAATTTGACAGTTGTCGGTAAGTTTATCTAGAAGCCATTATCTTCTTTTAATATTTTTGAAGAAAATCTTAATGTATAACAAACTTTTCAAGTCATGCTAATTCCCGTAAAGCTGGATGTCTTTAATAATACTTCGTTAATGTTAATGTGCGTGATTCGTATTTGAATCTTTTTTATTCGAAATTTTCGAATTATTCGGATTTGAATCATAGAGATGCAAATTCGAATCGAATAGAATGAAATTCGATTCGATTCGAATTCAAACAGTTCGCACATCTCTTGTATGCTACTTTTAAAACTTAAAATATACTCGTACCAGCTGATCCTTGTTTACAAACGTAGATTCGCCACGCGCTAATCTCCACGTGAGAGAACCCGAAGTTCGTTCTTGATAGGTCTCATCAGAATCCTCATTTTGCGAGTTTGGCACATATATCATACTGGCGAGCTCGCACAGTGTTCGATCAATGATATATTTTCTACGTGCTGCGCTATAGCTGACAACGCTTTGTCGTTTATTGCTAAGAAATCGAATTAATGTTATTAAATTTTGTTCAGTGCATGCTGTTCGCCTTTTCAAGACAGCTTCTGGATTCTGTGTGTAACGCCATGTGACATCCTGCACTTCATCTTTCGAATAGGCTATTATATACGTCAGCTTCTTGTTCCATCCTTTCTCGTACATCAACGGTTTATTCACCACGTTCTCGCATGGGTCGACATGAATCCATTTCTTCTGAGTCGACGACCATACCTGAAAATATAAGAATTGTAAGTTATATTGTGATATTTCAAACCTTATTATAGGATGTTATTTTAAAGTTCCGCCGTATCGTGATATGTGGTCTGTTTTTATTAATCACTGAACTAATATACACTTATGGAACTTAAAAAGAAATAGATATACAGTTGATACTTATCTTGCTTATGATTGCTTATTATATTTGAGACTTATTATGTTGAACTAACTGCACTAACTTGCACTAGTTTTCATCTTCTCTTTCTTCCAAATCTCAACTGTATATCTTTGTTTTAAATTCAGTAAGTGTATACCAGTTCAGGAAGTTTTTTAAAAAAGAACAGGTCTTATGCTTGGGCTGACTTCTGGATTGGTCTAGCCCGACAGCAATCCAAAAGCCAAACTAAGCTTATTGCAGAAGGCAAATAGAAGATTGTGCGATAATTCGATATACCTCTGTCCAAGCATGATCTGTCTCGTCATGTACAAGTCGTGCGTCATATTTCAATGATCGACACATAAGTGTATATACATTGGCCCATTCGCCACAACGACCACATCTTGTACTCAACAATGGTTTTGGATGCGAATAACGAGGGAACTCGACAATTTTCCTACAGCTTGTACATCTAGAGTTGAATTAATATCATAATAACAATTTTGCAAGCTGCTTATTCAAGTTTAATTTCACTAATGATTGCTAATTATTGGTTGCATTCTGGTATAATATATGATATAATTTTATAATATATTAGGTCTATAACTTGAAACCCATCTTCTAACGATAAATAGCTGTAGCTTTGACAATCGTCAATTGTAATGGCTGAACAAGATATCATTTATAATTTTGACCTCTGTCAATAATATTCAGTATATAAAAGTTTGTGTTTGTGACAACAACATAGTTATTTACTGCAAAGAAAATGTCTGAATTTCAACCAAATAGGCATCATTTGTGCGCGAAGCTTTGCTTTTCTGTTTCAATTTGAAGAAAACTGCTGCTGAATCTCATCGAATGCTTGTTGAAGTTTATAGGGAACTTGCTCTATCGGAAACAACTTGTAAAGAATGGTTTCAACGATTCAAACTTGGTGATTTTGATACGAATGATAAAAAACGTTCAAGCCAGCAAAAAAATTCGAAGATACAGAACTACAAGCATTGGTTGATGAAGATCCATGTCAAACACAAAATCAACTTGCAGAAATGTTGAATGTTACTTAAGCAGCCATTTCCAAGCGTTTAAAAGCCATGGGAAAGGTATACAAGGGAAGAAGATGGGTGCCATATGAATTGGAAGAAAGAGACATCAAAAGGCAAAAAAGCATTTTCGAAATGCTGCTTGCCAGGCAAAAAAGAAGAGTTTTTGCATCAAATTGTGACTGGCGATAAAAAGTGGATCTATTTCGATAACCCCAAACGCCAAAAAACCATTTGCGACCCAGGTCAACAATCGACATCGACGCCAAAACGCAATATTCATGGGAAGAAGGCCATGCTCTGTATTTAGTGGGACCAGAAGGGTATGAGTATATTATGAGATACTGAAATCTGGTCAAACAGTCACAGGGGATCTCTACCAACAACAATCCGTTTGAGCCGAACATTGCGCGAAAAACGATCAAAATATGAGATAAGATAGCATAAAGTGATCTTGCTTCATGACAACGCTCGACTTTACGTCACTAAGGCTGTCAAGGAAATATTGGAAGCATTTTGCTGGGAAGTGCTACCCTATGCAGCTTATTCACTAGACTATGCCCTTTCCGACTACCACTTGTTTCGGTCGATGGCACATGCACTTGCAGAGGAACACTTCAACTTATGAAAGCATTGAAAAATAGGTTTCTAACTGAATAGCCTCTAAAGATGAGTTGTTCTTTTGCTGTGGGATCTGCTTTACCAGAAAGATGGGAAAAAGTCATATCTAATGATGGCCAATACTTTGATTGACGTATTTTTTTTTTTTGTTTCTTAAATAAAGGCTTAATTTTTGCAAAAAAAGGCAGGTTTCAAGTTATAGACCTAATATATATGTGTGTGTAATCTTATTGAAACATACTTGGTAATCTTATTGAAACATATTTGGAAAAACCTTACCTATATAATTCTACTCTTGAATATGGAGTACTTGGAGTATCTAACTCTACTGTATTTTTGTATACACATTTTATAGAACATATTGGGCACATTGGACTGTCAACCCACTTGAAAAAATCTTGCTTAAACCAGCTTGTGAATGCAACTAAGAAAAAGTCTTGAAGAGACAAATTATTCTCGATATCTACGATAGTAGATGTTGCTGAATCATCTACCTTATTATACCTGTAAAATAAAAAATTAATTGAGATAAGTTTTGCTGAGAAAAGAGTGTATGAAAAGTAGATCTGACTTAATTACCTTTGCAATTCTCTGAATGTTCTCACTGATTTAATTTCTAATGAATCAACAGGTATCAACTTTATAGCCTGTTTCTGCAACTCCTCATTCTCATAAAGCATAACACTATCGAAATACTGAACAATTTTTTTAAAGAATGTATTCTTATGAACAGGCTCCTTACTTTTAGCTACAGATTTTTGTAATCTGGTAGACAACATTTGCGACAAACATTTGATTTTCGAGAGGGGCGTGTTATGTGGAAAAATTAAACGCTCACCATCCTATTATATATTAATCATTTAGTGTGTTAAAAATATTGTGGAATTTAAAATAAACATACCAAATTATCGATTAACATTCGTTCTATTAGTTACGATAATTAAAAGAATAACAAGAATATTAAGATACTTAAAATGTTCTTCGAACTAGATACAAACCTCGACGTAGCCAACTTCAACCAAACATTCCAGGGCACCGATAGCTGGTAGAATCTTTTGTACGATGATTTCATTGTCGAGATGCACTTCGCGAAATTTCTCATTGTCCGGCGACTTTAGCAAATTGTGGCAAATATTTAATAATGCTACCTGCGCCTCATCGCACACATCATATTCGTTCTCTTCCAAGCATTTCAGCCAGTATTTCAGATTGTCGTCCATATTAACGTGAATTCTATGTATAGTTACAGTCTGGAATCACCTATTCGTCTAGACTACAGTTAAACATCTGCCAGCTCATTGTCATTATCGCTGACTCCTCGTCTAGGAGAAAAGATAGGTTAGTTTGCGATCTAAGATCTGAGGCCTGTTCTTTGTAGCTGCACTGCTGAACTAGTGCAATAAGTTAGAGTTAAAAAACATATATGTGTCTCACTTTAATTTATTGAACCAGTTCAGCAGTGCAGTGAAAAGAACAGGAACTCTATACTTCACGCACTTGAAAGGAGGTAGAAGCAGTCTGCAAGCTTGAGTGAGGGAAAGGAAAACCTTAGAGTGCAGAGAAGTGTAAACAATATTTGTTGACGTATACACACTTTACCGACAATAACAAATCGAACCATGTTACAAGTTTGCAACAAGAAAAAGTTGGCGTCTCGTATATATGAATTGCTGAAGATGCCATCGTGACGACGTCTTTTACTCTTATCTCGGTTGTCGACCAGGCAATTATCAAACACTGTAAAATCTGGGTAAATTTTCAAACTAGCAAAGGGGCCCGAATAGGAAAAATCACATTATCGACTATTTTTAGTAATTTGATATGAATATCTGGACATTCAAGTCCATATTTTAACTTTCTTTTACCACTAAAAATATTTCTAAGAGTGACTTATAAACTTCTCATAATTTAATTCTTATGGTTATAAGTCACTTTTAGAGACTCTTAACGATAAAAGAATACAGAATATGGGCTGCAATGTGCAATAAAGTATTAATTTTATAATTTACAATTATCTTGGTGTTTTATCGTTATGTGTATAGAATGACAAAGTATATTAAATATTTTTACTATATTTTTTTAGTTATCATCTACACTTATTTTACATATTTTTATCGACAAATTTACCAACAGGAGGTTACATTTAATAATGAAATTTTCTAGTTTGTGCTAAATCTGTTTCATACACACGCGTGCTTAAAAAAGTTTAAGAGATGTCTAAAAGAAAATAGGACATCTTTGAGACATGCATGTTGTGTGAAGTAAGATCAATGGTTTAGTATTAGCTCGTCGGTATCTCGGTCCACGTCAAGGACGTCGTAGCGTAAAAGGGGATAGCAGTGTCCGCCCACTATGTGCCTGGTGTTAACTGGTGTGGGCTGAATCTGCTGTCCTGCGTGCTGACCGTCGGAGTGCGCATCGTATATGGTCATTCGTGTAACCGGTGTAGCTCTATACAACTGTTGGATCAGAGATTACGCGATATTCATGTACGCTCGCACCTGGAATACGTGCCTAGATTATCACGTCTGTTTCTGCAAAAGAGAATCAAGTGCAGCAAGTAGTTTGCTGCTGTGCTTATGTGTTAGTGTTACGAATATGGCTATATTTAGCGTATGACGGCTGGCCGTTGGGGAGCACGAACAGTGCCGTCGTTCTAATATACCTCGCTCGCGTGCCGCCTGTGTTTACGCTCGATTTATGATATAACGGGAAAAAAATGGAAGATATATTTCAGTGGTGTCGCGAGGGCAATGCCATGCAAGTCCGTGTTTGGCTAGATGACACCGAGCATGACATGAACCAAGGGTAATTACTTCAGAACTCCTTTTTTGGATAAGACTTACAGTCGGATGTTGTGGTTTCTCAGATTCTATAATTAGACTCACCTAGATGGATCATAAAAGATGATTTCATAAAAGAGTATTCTTTATGAGAAGTATTTCATGAATGCATTGGAAAGCAGACTGCTTATAAATTTGCATAAAATTTCATAATTAGGAGATCATATTAAATAGATATCCAATACAGTTATAGCAGTTTTATTTGTAACATTTTAATTTTGTTTCTTAATAAATATTTCCAAGAAACTGCTTGTATTTTTCTGCTAATAATTTGGACGTCAATCTTTTTTCACCACAGAATGTTTTATTATATTTAAATGTATTTATATATAGCGATGATCATGGCTTCAGTCCACTCCATTGGTGTTGTAAAGAAGGCCATTTAAAATTGGCAGAGTTGCTTGTTAGTAGAGGGGCACGTATTAATGCTACCAACAGAGGTGACGATACACCTTTGCATCTTGCTTCAGCACATGGACACAAAGAGATAGTACAGTTGGTAAAAAATATTTGTAAATACTCCATTTACTCTAGTTAAAGTTATCTTACTCAAAGTAGATAATTCACAATCTTACTTACAGTTACTTCGAAACCGTGCTGATGTAAATGTTACAAATGAGCATGGAAATACTGCCTTGCACTATGCCTGTTTCTGGGGAGACCAGGCAGTTGCAGAAGAACTGGTTGCTGCCGGTGCTCTTGTATCCATTGCTAACAAGGACGGAGATACTCCCCTTGATAAAGCCAGAGGTGTCGTGGCCAAAAGACTGCATGGTATGTAGAAGATGGTAATAGAAATTAATATTTTTCACATTTGCACATGTAATGTATTGTCTCATTAGACTTAGCAGTGGAGTATGGACAAGACCTGAAGAAGATTCAGTTCAAAGATCAGAGTTGGCTAGGTTTGAAGACCAGAAGTAGTAAGTAGTTCTTCAGAAATTTACTCACATAAAAAAAAATCAAAGTGCTTAAAATTATACATAAATTTAAAATTTAAAATGTGCCTTTTGGGCATCCTTAAAATACATATTTGGTGAATAAACTCCTTACATTTCTAAAAGAGGATTCAATGGAGTTCAATGGATATATATATATATATATATATATATATATATATATATATATATATATATATATATATATATATATATATATATATATATATATATATATATATATATATATATATATATATATATATATATATATATATATATATATATATATATATATATATATATATATATATATATATATATATATATATATATATATATATATATATATATATATATATATATATATATATATATATATATATATATATATATATATATATATATATATATATATATATATATATATATATATATATATATATATATATATATATATATATATATATATATATATATATATATATATATATATATATATATATATATATATATATATATATATATATATATATATATATATATATATATATATATATATATATATATATATATATATATATATATATATATATATATATATATATATATAAATTACGTTTCTTTGTATTATTTCCACTATAGGAGACGCGACTTTATCGAGGCACAAAGGGATCAGTATGGCAGATCTATCTCTTCATACGCATCTCGCAAGCACACCGAGCGGCGAAACTTGGAGAGGACGATGGCAGAACAACGATATCGTCGCCAAGATCTTGAACGTTCGTGAGTGCACCGCACGTATTTCCCGGGACTTCAATGAGGAATTCCCGAAGCTGAGGATCTTCTCGCATCCTAATGTTCTGCCGGTTCTCGGTTGCGTTAATCAACCACCACAACTAGCAACCGTTTCCCAGTACATGGCGCGGGGTAGCTTGCATCGACTTCTGCATGGTGGAACCGGCGTTGTGGTAGACACGGCTCGCGCCCTTCGGCTAGCCCTCGATGTTGCCAGAGCTATGGCGTTTCTTCATGGTTTGGATCGCCAAAACAGGTGCAGATTTCACCTGAACAGTAAACATATAATGGTAAGTTCTTGGCAAAGCAATTACATAAAAATAGCTAAAGATATCTATCTGGGAAAAAAGATATATGAATTTTGTCCCTGTACGGTCATATATAATCATAATCATATATAATCATGCATAATTATATACACGACGAAAAAAATACTGTTATACAAATACAATCGAAGTAAATGTTTTTAAAGTCGAATTACAATCGAAGTAAATGCTTTTACTTCTGGCAGCACATGACGTTGACGTTTAATGAAATGAAACTAATTTTAGATCGACGAGGATCTGACGGCTCGCGTGAATATGGCCGACGCGAAGTTCTCTTTTCAAGAAGTCGGACGAATTTATGAGCCAGCGTGGATGTCGCCGGAAGCGTTGAGCAAACGTCCAGCGGACATCAATCTCGAGGCTAGCGATATGTGGAGCTTTGCTGTTCTCCTGTGGGAATTGGCGACTAGAGAGGTGCCATTTGCGGATCTGTCGCCTATGGAATGTGGAATGAAGGTAGCTATAATTGATTTGCACGTTATCCTATCAGAAAAAGTGCGTGTTAACTAAATCTCGAATGTATCGAAATGAGTGAAGCCTCTTTTCCGCGATGCTAATTGGCCGTCTCGATCGTCTCGATTGTCTCGATCCCGTCGCAGTTGAATTCGTGCCGCTTGCAGCTATTAGCCGCGGTGACAGATCAGGTTGTGTTGTTCGCGTCATATAAATTTGATATTTATTGTAATCCCAGCAAACACATTGTTACATGTAACATACATGTTAGTTGTAATTTCTTACTCACAATATCTTACAAACAATATAACTGTTATATAATATACGTGTTATATAACAGTTACATTATTGAATAGGAAATTACAACTAACATGTATGTTATATGTAACATTGATTTGCTGGGAATATAATTTGTAAAAACGAGTATTGTAATATAAATTATAAATAGTACAACGAAGAGGCTAAAGTGGCGCGCGCGAAGCGTGGTGTTCTAGTACTCTCTAAAAAAAGACATGTAAGAGATTTAATTGTTGCCGCTTTTCCGCGATGCTGATTGGTTCTCTCGCTTAGCTCACTTCATGTGAGCTGCGGCTTGCTTCGTATCGTTTGTACCTGTCAAATTATCAGGCAAATAATTGTCATCGCGTTGGTTATCTCATGAAGAAAAGAATACAGAAGAGGTATAAATTAAAAGAATAGAAGAATAGAGAATAGAAGGGTAGAGGAGAAAGAGAAAAAAGAAAGGGCAGACGAGAGAAACATATTATTTAGGCAAAAATAAGGGTAAGAATAAAATAATTTTATAAGATAATTTAAAAGGTCATTGTAATGATAAAAATGCTAAATAGCGCGCGCGTAGCGCGCGTCTGTAATGTTCTAGTAAATTATAATGAAGATTACTTTTAATTCTTTTTATTCTTAATTTTTACGGAAAAACACTCATCGAACTAGTTCGTTTAACAATGCTTCATCGAACTCGGATGCGTTAAATGACAATGATTCTATAATTTTTTTCAGATTGCACTGGAAGATTTACGTGTAAGCATTCCGCCAGGAATCTCTCCGCATCTCGCGAAGCTCATCCGGATCTGCATGAACGAAGATCCGGGCAAACGACCGTCCTTCGACATGGTCGTGCCGATTCTCGATAAGATGAAGCGTTGAAGCGTACACGACTGGTGGCACGAAAAATGATAGGAAGAATAATGAAATAACCGAAGGAGTTCAAACGAAGCATCTTAACGAATCTCTATGTTAAACTGCCTCGAAAAATTGTTAACAATGAATGATATTTTTATTATTGTCGTATTCTATAAATACGAAAATACTGCCTTTAAGAGCCTTATATGAAGAAGGATAGATATAGATTAATTTTTTGCTACTTATGTACACGTACATATATATGTAACAAATTTATATTCTGTGGGAGCATGCCTATATCCATATACACACACATTGAGTTTAAATATATAGCACAAACGCTATTTTTACATATTTCGCCAGCATTTATAATGTTATAAAAAAATAAGATGGTACTACTGTTTACATTAAGCAGCATATTTTTTATAAAATTTTTGACAACTTACTATGCTTACATTGATATAGATATATTGTGAATATTATATTAATATTATATTAATTAGAGAATGAGAAGAATTAATAAAATTGAATAGTTTGATGCTGTTAAATTATGTTAGATAAATATATGTGCACACTTTGTTGCGATAAAGAGTATATCACTGCCCCAATAATTATATAAAACATTTCTTTTTTTAGGGAATTCAGTAAAAATTACATTTATCCTGCAATTATTTTAACTAATTTATTTGATTAAAGTAAATGTCCCAATGCCCAGGCATGTACCTAATTCCGGACACTCTTATTATTTTAAATATTTCTTTAAATATTTTATCTTTCAACGTACACTAAATATAAATATTAAATGTATGTATACCAATATGTATTGTATGTATTGTATGTTGAAAGTTGAAATATTTATACTCAAATATAAAAATAATAACAATGTCCGGGCATTGGTACATTTACCTTACTTGGTCATTATTCAAATTGTTTTAACTTGTCAACGGTATGCTAATTGTATATCTCTATGTATACGTATATGTCATATATATATGTTTACTACTCGACAGAGAGGTCATACCGTTTATGTGTGCGCGACTCTCTCACATGTCTTGCGATGCCAGACCACTTTTGTTAACCTAAAAATGGCTGCTGCGCAGAAATTCGCCCGGTTTCTGCAAAGGACAAGATTTTTCAATAAAAACTATTATACGAGTGAGAATGGACGTGTACGATTGTTTTGTACGATAGCACAGCAGCCGAAGACGTTGAATTTAATGAAACTCAGTATAATCGGTGCCGCTACCGGTATCGTCCTAGGTGGTACTTACGCTTATTACGAGATCGAAAAAACCAGGAAAAACATCGACTTGGAAGGAACGTTGCAAGAGACCGTGTTGCTGAAGCATAAACCGCCCATTGCACCGTCTAGAAAAGTACTTTTGCCGATTATATCGCGAAAAATTTAACGTTGCCCGTTACGTTCATGCAGTACTGAGAAACTGCGTCTTTCTGTTTCAGATTGTATCACCGGTAGACAATACTGGCTTGAAACTTACGTTATTTCAGTATCAAACGTGCCCATTTTGCTCTAAGGTAACTAAAAACAAATTTACGAATTGAATTACATATTTAAATATTTTATTTTAATATCATGTTGATTAAAATTGGATTTATTCTGTGGATATTGATCTATTTGTCTAAGATGCTTGAATTTTATAAACTGAATGAAGAGTTGTATTATTGTATATATTACATATATATTTATGTATTGTATGTTATATATAATAGTAATATTATATAAAATTAATTAAAATTGTATAGGTTAGAGTTTTCTTGGATTACTATGGAATATCTTATGACATTGTGGAAGTTAACCCAGTACTTCGTAAGGAGATTGGATGGTCTTCTTATAAAAAAGTTCCAATTCTCTTGACTAAAGTAGAGGAAGGCTATCAACCTTTAAATGACAGTACTATGATAATATCTCTTGTTGCATCCCATTTACATGATCCATCTTATAAAATTGAGAATTTAGCTGTCTATTATCCAAATGTAGGAATGCACGATGAAGAAGGCAACTTTAAATTTGAGATCATAAATAAGTATTTTCTCATGTTTAATAAGCAACTTCCAAAAGACAGGACAATAAATGATATAAAGTATGTAAATTCTGATTGATAAGTACAATCTATTAAATCTGCATATTTTTTTGTGTTATCATTTAATTATTTTTTTATTTTTAGCGAAGAACGTAAGTGGAGAAGATGGGCAGATGATGTTTTTGTTCATGTACTTTCACCAAATGTATACAGGACAATCGATGAATCTTATAGGACATTCAGATGGTTTTCAGATGTGAGTATGAATTTTTTCTTTTTTTTTTTTTATTAGAACTAAGAATTATATAAAATGTGTAAAATAGTTCAAACACTTTCCTTTTGTTCTAACAATTAATAAGTAATCATAAAATTAATGTGATAAAATTATGAAGAAAGATAGGTTGCATGTCACATTAATTTGTCGATAATTTATGCTCCATCGATTGCAAGTGTCATTTTATGGGTATATCTTTTTATTTCAACGTATTTTGTAAGAATCTTTAGCATATATTTTTTCACTCCCGCCATCATCAAGTCGAGAGTTGCACAACAAGGTACTAGTACTGGGATTCTGTAACTCATTATTGGAGTTAACGACAGTTTCGTTATCGTTGTGCAGCTTTTATTTACCATAAAAAAATTGTGCAACAATAACTAAACTGTTGTTAACTCCAATAACGCGTTACAGAATCCCAGTACAAGAGGCTTAACAACAGTGACATAACAAATAAAATTTATTTTATCTTATACAGATTGGAAAATGGGAGGAGTATTTTCCATCATGGGAACGAATATTAGTAGTGAACGTCGGTGCAACGGCAATGTGGCTAATTGGGAAAAGACTTAAGAAGAGACATCGTCTAAAGAACGACGTTCGACAGTCGTTGTACGACGAAGCGAACTATTGGCTGCGCAACATAAACGCACGCGGCACCACGTTCATGGGCGGTAACAAGCCTGATCTGTCTGATTTAGCGGTGTACGGTGTCTTGAAAAGCATCGAAGGCTGTGACGCTTTCCAAGATTTATTAGCGAACACAAAAATCGGCGTTTGGTACAACGCTATGAAGGAACAAGTCGATACACATGGTGGAAGCGCGAAATTAAGCAGATAATACCATTCACTGTCGCACCGTGTACAGAGTTACTTATTAACACAATAAACGACAAGTACTGATATGCTTATATTCAGTAAGAATACATAACGTGTGTCACGCGTGTAATTTACTTAAACTGCGCAAGGTAGCTGACGGAACATTAGTCTGAAGCCTTTATTTTGAACGTCTATCATTTCATCGCCGTCCGTGACGACGTAGAGTACGAACGGTTTCAAGTCCGCTGAAAGTTGAATACAAGACAAATTAGTATCAGCATAATTGAACATTTGGTTTTAGTATAGCTTGAGCACTCTCCTCGATGCAGTTTGAAATTATTAGCGAATATATATAATATATAATATATATTATATTTATTTATTAGGTTCAATGAGAGAACCAACTTCTTGACAATTAAACAAAAGCAAGTTTTTTTATTAGAACATCGACAGAGTTTCAAGATATATCGAGAAAAAATGTTCAAACCGTATTGAAACCAAGTCGTGTGTAGCACAGCGCACTGTACAACTACACTTGCGTGAACTCACATGTTTTAGTAATAAATCCATTTCCGCAAAACCTGTCTGTATTAGTCGGCACGCCGTTTTCACGCGGACCAGGTATAATTACGAAATCTTGCATGCACATATCGCCAGATTCCGCTACTAAATCCGTGCCTGTTGAAACAATAATTAAATGTTCTAATGAATGAGAAAGTATTTGTACTTGATAATATGTAATCCGTTAGATTTGTAATAGAAAATTTTCAAAAAAGATTACTCTTAAGCACTGAAAGATCGCCGTTAAAAATTGTTACATGTTATCGACAATTGTCACATCTCACCTATTATATCTGGACCAAACACTTCCGTGTCGCCGGAGACAGAGAAGGAGAATATATCCACTTGCGACCACTCGATACTGCAATAACCCAAAGCCATTCTAATGCACACGCCGTAACGATGATTCACCATTTGCCGCGTTCCAATTTGAGGAGCTAAAACGATTCCCCATTCAAACCGATCGTTCGCAGTTTCCTGTAATATTCGATCGACGCGTACCTCGTACGTTTTCCGTTGTACCGAAGTTAAAGCTCATCACGACACCAGAGACAGTCTTGTGATATTGCAAACATCCGTTAGGAGCTGAAGCGAAGTGACGAGTTACAACTTCGTATAGGTTTCTGCAAAAAATAATAACGACAGTTTGCACGTACCTCTACAGACGGAATCGCACGGTATTTGTTGAATCCGTATGTTCCAGCGCCGATCAAACACGTAATCCGCGTTGGTATCGACGGATATCATGATCGGCGTTGCTCCATTGAAGTCGACGTACACTGAAACAATTGTCAACACGTTGAATGGCACGACATCATATAATTAATACATACCGAGTATAAGATGTAATTACTTTGAAAAATCAATGTAAGTTGGCAATAGCAAGTCAATGAAACGAAATGAAGGATACATATGTCTTGGGTATTACATTTATTTATCGTATTTTTAATGATTCAACTATCGGTCAAGCTTTCGTACGATGTAACATGTTAATTCTGCACTATGGTACGTGGATTTTGTGTCAGTCAATTTACCGTGCTGATTAGTATTATCTCCGCACATTCTGGGCACCGTGGACGAGCCTCCGGATACCAGAAGCACGTCAAAATCGCACCATCCGGTGGCATTTGGTTGAGCGAGAGTCGCTTCTAAAAAGTCCAATCGCAACTGCAAACGTGAGAGATGCGAAAATAGAAAACTCAACTTTTCAGGACTCTTCAAAACTCGCGCAACGTTACCTGACATATGTTCGAATTACAGCGTTGAACAGTGATCGTGCAGCGTTCCCCTCCTCGATAAGTGATGGGATAATTCGGACTTACGAAATACGTGTTATTTACGTTGGTGGTAGAGCCGCAGGATTTCTGAACTATAACAGAACAGAATCGCTACTTCTCTTTTCCTACAATATGATTTTAATAATGGGAGCTTTGTTTTACGCTACTCACACACGCAACAAGTGCCCAGTCCATTGGCACACGGTCCCGAGGGAGTACCTCCGAAATTCGTGCATTCTCGCCTCGTGAAGCAGGTGCCGTTCAAACGACTCTCGGCGCTCGATAAGCACTGCGAATTGGCGAAACGCACGACACTAAATAGAGGAAAGACTGCACAGAGATAATGCGTTTGAAATACTCTGAAAGCGCGACTCGTCAACATTTTCAAATCACTCATTAATTCCAAGGAGAGACTTACATCTTCCTCGCTGGCTGGAAAGGGAGTTAATCGATTTAGTCTTCAAAGTCGCATCGTCTTTCGAGGACTCGTCCCAGTCAACAGTCTGAGCGCTCACAAGAGGCACGACGGCAAAGCAACTAGTTAATAGTATGCTGATCATGTCTGACAGTGTAACTGACTTGGAGAATTGCATTTCGACTCTCGGCAGACTCCGATAACGGGACGCGTACGCTCAAACGATCGTGGCAATTAGCGAGCGATTGGCACCTTGAGTTTGCTGTCTGCTTAACTGTACGACTGTTACGTGTTATGCACGGAACTAGCCTGCCGTTTCTTCTCGTGCGAATAATGCGGTGAATGAGGGTAGCGAATCAAGAAAGAAGAGTCTTGTACAATTATAAAAAAATCTTCAGATATAAAAAAGCAATCAATCTGTATTATCGTCTTAATAAAACACTGTACAAGATCATAATAAGAGGCTCGAGACAGAGAGCGAAAGAACATTTCTAACGATTCAATATTAAGTACACGTAATCTACAACAAATCCCCTGATCTCGTAGTGTGATGCTTCAACCTGCCGGAGTATTCGGCGTCCGACAGAACGGACAGTGTCCGTGTCGCAGTAACGCTAACTCGTAGTCGTCTGAATGAAACAACTGGAATACAATAAAGTTACAAACACCAAGATTCCGTAAGGCCTAAATGAGAAACATTGTTTACGCGGCTCACCTTTAAGCAGCATTTGCATAGGCTGACTTGGAGATCGGGTAACAGATTTCGGAAATATCTGGTCTTGAAGGGCTTCGGCCACTTGATGATTATTACTGTGGACGGATCCATACTCTTCAACACTCCTCTGCTCACAGTTATCGTGGAGTTGCTGGATTTTTCCTGCGGGAAGAGGAAATATTGTTTTTTCAGAGAGAAGACACTTTACGCAATCGTTGATTCCATTGCGCCAATTATACTTCGTATCTCATTAAGCGGACGGTAAACAGATCGGCCTCGTTGGAAGTCACGGTGAACTGATCGCTCAATGCGACGTCGTTGGCGGAAGGTAATGGCTCTTCTATCAACTTTTCCGCTTCCTCGTCCGTGATATCGTCCTCCAGCTCGAATTCCACCAGCGGCAGGATTTCTATAAACGCAAGAGTTTTACATATGCCTGCTCAAAATCCGAAAAAAGTAAGAAATCTAAATCCATCTATAGCTATCTATAAATAGCTAAGAAAGAAGCAAATGTTCGAATTGCACGGATTGTGATTACTTAACGTTACTTACCGAACATTACAAAGGAATGTTGGAACTTCAAACCACATTGCGTGCAATTACTACCGGAAACGTTGCTTGTAGGCAACAACGGATTGAAGGTGGAGCACTTGTAGCACAGCGGCAGTAACTCCTCCGGATCGCGATAAGAGTAAGATCTGGCGGCCAACGTGGACGTCTCCACTTGCGTCAAAAGACTCGCGGGGATCCTCATTGCGCGCAACTGGTCCAGCAGTTGCATCATCAATTTATTGGCTCCCAATATTCGCGCTTGTTTCACTAAACTGTACATTATTGTCAGCTTCGACACGCCTTCCAGACGTATGTTCTGCGTCTTCATGAGCAAATATCGCGAAATATTGAATAATGCCTCTGGCATCAGCGACGTGAAGGGTTCTTCCTAAAATGCGTTAAATTAAGATAGAGAACGTATATGAGAAAAATATATTATGTGTCGGCTATCAATATCATACCAGATATTTGTGCACTTCATGGTACGCATAATAGATATCCGCTTTGTCAGAATAATTGAGGAACATTGTTTTTATCTCGTCCGCGTTCTTCGTTAAATTTAGACTCAATTGCGACAGAAGCCAGTAGAAATAGGAAGCATCGCGGAATCTCTTCTCCACGACAGCATTGTTAGCCAGCATCGTGAGCACCATTATGGATTCTTCCGGTTGTCCAGCCATTTGAAACGCTAGTTAATGCAACAAGAGATGAATATTAAAATTTAGATGGTCATACGTGTCGTGGCACGATGATGATAATGAGAAATACCTTCCTGGGCCTCGGAAAACCGCCCGGTCTCCGCCAACCATCGCGCGTACGGCCCGTACACTCGCGACTTGAGCTTCGGATTTCTCTCCGCGAGTTCAAAAGCCTCAGGCCACGCCTGCGCGTCCACGAGTACGTCGGCGACGTCGGGATCATCCCCGAGCCGGCTGAAGATCTCCGCTGCGCCGTGTGAGGCACCTAATTGCTTCAGCTTCTTGGCGATCATCGACAAGTTGTCACGGTCTGCTTTGTCCAATTGCCTGCCTACTTTGATCAGCATATCGATCCAACCGTACTCAGCAATGATGCTGATGGCACGGTCGATGTCACCCGCAGAGAGGAACATCTCGGCGGCGGCGCGCGGCTCGCCCAAGCTTTTCGCCCACTCGGCCCGCCGTCGTAATAACACCGTGCGATCCTGAGAAGATCAAAGATCATTTGATTTACATATCAAGAGATCAAGCTTAAGACGTTTATTTAAAACCGACCTGCGTATTGCCAGAAGCTATGAATTCCTGAGCGATATCGAACATTCGCAAGTCGGAATACATATCCAAAGCATACTGTTGCAAACCAGCTTTCTGGTAGAGCTTCGCCGCGTCGCGGAGTCTGCCCATGGCGGCTGCAGCGGTGGCCATGCAAGCCTCTCGTCCCCATTCGCCTGACTTTAATTTCTCCTCTACCTCCGACACAGTTTCTATGTAACGCAGCTTCTTTACCCGCGCGAAAGCTGAGTACGCGATATTTAGCTCCAGATTGTCCAAACACGCCATTCCCAGGGCGAGCCAGTCCGATTCGGCCACGCCTAAACACGCTATGTCATAGGCGTGATTGTACAAGCCGATGTCTAGGTATTGATACATGAACAACGACAATGGCACCTGCAAATCGGGATAAGTAAATTCTAAAGAAACTTCTTTAATTTATGTCTACAAACTATTCCTTAATCATACATAATATTTATTTATATAGTTTTTAACCGCGATAGCTTACTCACTTCTAGCGTGATGATCGACGAGCCGTTCAAACAATACAACTTCGAGCCGTTGTGGCCTACCACGAAGCCAGAGAACTTCTGCCTATATTCAGAGAAATTCGCTACCTTAATCGCGAGATAGTTATTGCCAGCGAAGCACATAATGTCTTCGAAAGCGATGTTGAACGCCACGCTGTTGACATCTTGAAATTCCTGCAGTTTCTCACCGGTGCACAGATCGAACACAGACAGAATACCAGCTTCGCTGACTACCGCCATTCTTTCCTTCAAAGAGCTGATGTCCAAGCATCGCACAGAGTCCTCGATTCTCGTCACGTGCGCGGGAAACGGATTGTCTAGGTATATTTTCATCACGTGGCCGGTCTTCAAGCCTGACGCGTCAAATTTGTAATTTAATTTATTCATTTTATTTAATTTTTATTAACTCATTCATTTGCGCGTTAACTTGAAGACGAAACGACAAATTTTTCGGAATTTACCAACCGGCTATCAAGCATTCCTGTCCGGCGGGGCCGCCAGCTACTTTGATGTACGTGATAAGACCGTCGAGTATCCATTCTCTTTCTATTATCCCGGTGAAAGAGAGACTCTGCAGACGCCTCTCCTGGCATAGAACTAGATTGTTCGACGTAACAACCAACAAATTGCAGTTCAACGTCTGGTTGAGTTTCTCTCGTATTCTGTAATGCATTCCATCACTAGTGCCGGACGGTTCGTAGATGATTACACGTTCAGATAATTGCACGGCTAATCTGTTTCGATAAACTGCAATTCGGCATACCTAAAATGTATATTGCATAAGCGACGTTATATATCGTACAATTGTTTAAACATCGTCCTGTCCACGTGTTCACGAGAAAAATTGTTACACTCACTAGATCTTTACATTTAATTCGAACTTTCTGATTCGTAATTAAATGCTGTATGATCACATCGGTCATGTTCTCTCTGTAGGCATATCTGTCTCCATACAAGCCATGCACAACGTTCCAGGATAGTTGTAAGTACGTTATCGTACCGTCCTGGGAACCGAGCGCCTACAAGATAAACGCTGAATACAGTGAACTGTATAAAGAAATAGTCTATGTAACAAGTAACACATTTGACTCACAACGTGCGAAGCAGTCGGATGAATGGCGCAGCTCCATACCCACGACGAAAAGGTACAGCCTACGGAAACCAGCTGTATGCCGTCGTGCGTCATCAACAGACATTGCTTATTACTGCCGCAAACAAGAAGATATTGGCCCTCTGGGAAGTGGACGACTTTCAACGGTATGAAATTAAGAGATCTCTCTCTTCTGACAACTTCTCCGCCAATAGTGTAAAACGAGATTATACCATTCCACTCAGCGATGCAGAGAATGTCCATAGAGTCATCACTAAAAGGATATTAATGACATCACATGTATAAAACATTTTTATTTGTTTTGTAAGAAACAATTATGTCTCTATTAGCTTGTTCATCACCGTAAAGGATTCCACGATAAACTCCAGATTGGTACTCCAGCTTGTCGTTCGATCCTCGTTTTTTCTTCACCATTCTGAAAAAGATATATATGTGTTGAGTTAATTTCAAACTCATAAAATAGAGCATGGGATATATTTCAGAGCATCTTACATTAATAACATACTTTGTTTCTTATGGATACATATCCACTTGCAAGACCAAGGGCTAAGTATTGTCCATCTTTTGTCCATGCACAACAATTAACTCTTCCTCCAGACTTGAGCTTCTGTACAGCTTTTTGTTCCGCAGACCAAAAGGCAATATCTGAGAGGGAACAGCTGAGCAGCTGATGAGAGACAGGATTAAATTGCATTGATTGTACGGCCTCATTGTGTCTGCGCAAGAAAGAAATACAGTAAATAAAAACCTTCTCCATAAAAAAAAATATATATATATGTTATATAACTTACGAATATTTCAATATTCCTTCTAACTTAGAAGTCCAGATAATAACACTCTTGTCGGCACTTCCTGATGCAAATTTTTTGCCATCCTTAGCATAACATACACAATATACTGTATCTTTATGGCCTATAAAATATAATACAGAAAAGAATCACAATATATTTAAAAAATATAATTTATTAATTTTCTATAGAACATTATATGATTTATATAACCATATTAATGATTACATGATTTACATGAATAAATTGATACTTACCTTTTAATGGTTGAATCAAAGCACCATCACTAGTCTCATACACAAGAACTTGATTGCCAGATGCAACAATTAATTGTGTACCATCCGGATTAAAGCAAAGATCATATATACTGAAATAATATAGTTATATAGAATTTGTAAAAAAATTTGAAATTTGAAATTGTAAAATTTGAAATTTGAAGAAATATAAGAAATTAGAATGTTTATTGTTGAGAAATATATAGCATTTGTTTGAATTTAAATTGTCTTATTGAATTTTTGTAAGGTAGGTATTAAGATATGAAATAAGTAAATACAAATACTTGCACGAATTAATTTATAATTCATAATCATTTATAATCATTAATAAACAACTTGTTAAAGGTTTACCATTGATCTGATTTATCTTGCACCTTGTCGACCCATGCTGGATGTGCTCTCATTATGTCACATTCAGCAAAGATTATTTATTGAATTGTTTATTGGATTAATGCAACAATACTGCCTTGACATACGGGATTTGTTTTGTGTTTGTATGGTTACCACGGAAACGGCGGCAAAATGGCGTGAATAAAACGAGAGGCTCCTTCAATTGTATATCTCCAAAGAAAAGAATGAGACAGGTCATGAGTTGATTTTATTTGATTCTCAAATGCAAAGTGCTTTACATTATGTCTTGTTCTGTTTTTTTATTTGTTACTTCAAATCTCGCCATGTCCTGTAGAATCCATTCTTTTTAATAGATGTTAAATCAAGCGGACAAGCTGATTTATTTCTTAACAGCTTATTCAATCTGTTACAAATAAAAAAATTAGTTGACCCAATTGAGTCATATTGTTTATAAGTAAAAGATCTATCTTATTGTTGAATGCTAAGATTTGAAAATAAAAAAACAGTTTTTTGATTAAGCCCATATTCTGAACCCTTTTTTTTATCGATAAAAGTGCTTTAAATATAGCTTCTCAGCCAATTAGGTGGCTCCTAATGCAGGATTCACACCGCGTCCGATGTCCGACGTACGACGTCCGATATCCAATAGGAGAACAGCTTTCTAATATAGAATTCAATTCTCCATTGGAAAGCTATTCTTTTGGTTGCTTTCCAACAGAGACACAAGTCGACACAAGTATCATCCTATTTTTATTACTCATTAAGGCTGCGTTCCGAAATGCACTGCCAGTACTGAAAATCTATAGTTTATGTTACGTATATTATAGAGTTTCAGTACTGGCAGTGAATTTCGAAACGCAGCCTAGGGTGCGTTCAGATTCCTCATCCAGGTGCACTCTATTACTAGAAACACTACAGTATATGTTACATAAACTATAGCACTTCTAGTAATAGAATACACCCGGGTGGAGAATCTGAACGCAGCCCTAAATGTGGAACAATGTGTGCTTTCCAATTGCTTAACACATCTTGACACACACGTACACAAAACCAGTTTATTGGTCACATATTATCTAAAATATCTTGTAAGATAATATGCAGCCAATAAACTGATTTTGTGTAACACAGTGTACGCAACTGGAAAGCACCCAAAGATAGAATGATGTTCGTGTCGACTTGTGTCTCTTGTTGGAAAGCAACCTTTATTGGATATCGGACGTCGCACTCGGATCATCGACATCGACTGCAAGGCCAAATCGCTATGGACGAAAGCCAATGCTCTGTATTTGATAGGATTAGAAGGGTGTGATCTATTATGAGCTGCTAAAACCTGGCCAAACCGTTAATATTGAACGCTACCGACAACAAATGATCGATTTGAATCAAGCTTTGCGTGAAAAACGACCAGAATATAAAAAAAAGGCAATACAAAGTGATTTTGCTTTATGATAATGCACTATCATACACAGCAAAACTGGTCAAGGAAACGATTGAGGCGTTTAATTGGGAAATACTTTCGCATGCGGCTTATTCACCAGACTTGGCTTCGTCCGATTACTATTTATTTGCATCGATGGGACACACACTTGCTAAGCAGCGCTTCACTTCTTACGAAAATGTACGAAAATGACTCGATGACTGGTTTGCCTCAAAAGAGCAACAGTTTTTTTGGCGTGGCATCCACAAATTGTCAGATAGGTGGGAAAAATGTATAGCTAGCGATGGGCAATACTTCGAATAAAATATTGTTTATCATTTTCATACAATAAACGTGTATTTTCTATACAAAAATTCCGGTTTCATATTTACATACCTAGTAACACGAGATATATCTCCAGTCATGTTTCATTTCAAATATTTATGACAATGTGGTCACGACTTTCAGTCTTCTTCCCTCACTCGAGCTGTCTCGTTGGCAGTGTGCTGTTTAACTGTGATCAAAGATGTTTTCCTGATATTATATTATACATATAGTGTATTATATTATATTATATTATATTAGTGTATTATATTATATTGTAAAATTTAATTTATCTCTAATGTAATCTCTAATTGTAATATTAATGAAATTCACTCTTGACCAACGTGTACATTTCAACTTAATAAATTTGTTTTATTAAAATATATTTATAAGTACGCATATCAAGTGCACGAAACCAAGCCAATAGGTGCGAACTCAATAGTTACACAACAGTTGAGTCAATGTAATTGGATTTAAGGATCTAATAGTAAGAACCAATAATCGCTAATTGCTCACTGAGTGCTTTTTCCGCTGAATGCGCCTATTTATTGCACTTTTTGAGTGCTTCCGAAATACCCAGAGTTGGGTCGAGTTGAATTAATTCCACTATAGTATATGTAACGGATACTATAGTAGAACTAACTCAACTTGACCCAACCCTGGATATTTCGGAAGCATCCTTTGTTCTCTAGCAGGGATGCGTTCGAAAACATCACCCGTGTGTATTTTGTCACACTCAGATCGTTCGAAAACCCCTAGTGGGCACACTGACCATGCGACCATGGCCGTTCGAAAACCGTACTCCGTGGACCACTCGTGTGACTTTTCTCCACTCTCTTTTGCGCGGTGTGAATCGGTGGAGATGGTGGAGAGTGCGCAAAGAGTGCAATACAGTATGAAATTACTAAATTATTTATGGTTTTTTGTTCTTCGAAACATTCGTACAACCATTAGCCATCACGGTAAGATAAAAAATTTAAATACAGCAGTGTAGGTTAGCCAGGTTTAGGTTTATTTCTATAGTGATGTATATTGTCAGAATATTGTCTTTAAATATAAATAAAGCTTATTAAGCTTTTTGTATTTTATAGGTTCTGAAATTTTCTTACGAGATACGAGGCACGTTAAAAGTCACGAATCAGTAACAATTTGTGAAAAAAAATGGAAAATTTAATCCCGGGTCGTCATATTTTATGCATGGATATTTAAAAAAATATACAAAAGGATGACAAGGGAAATGTCTATATATATGATGTTAAAGGTAAGGAGTAATAAATAAGTTTATAAATTTCCTTAGGCCTGGTGCCCACGATGCTAGAAATCGATCCGAGTTCTCGGACCGAGGAATATATAATCAATTAACTTTCCAGATAACTAAATTATAAATTAATAATTACTAAATTAATTAATTACTAAATTTATTAATTTATTATTATTTTGCTGAGAAGCAATTATAGCTAATGTCGAAATACGCTTTCGATCATTTTGTACAACATATGTAGGCACAACACACATATAGTATGTCACATTGAGCATTCTTCCATGGCTGTTCGAAAACTCCTCTCGATACCAACTCCACTAACCCCACCAAGCCCATCCACCACAGTCACTTTCCGTCGTGGACTTTCAGTGTTTTCGAACGCACCCCAGATGTCACTAGTACGATCAGTCGGCGGCAGACGTCGATAAGTGTGATGAGTGAGTCCCAGATGCGCACATTGACAAATGGATATATCCAATCATATGTCGTTGTTTATAGAGTCTCTAGAATATCTCTAGGCATATGGCGTTGTGGTTAGCTGTGTCCGTTTGTCAATATGCGCATCTGGGACGCTCCCGTGTGGTTGACCGACTGGAGTCGGCAGTCGTAGTCGGCAGGCGAATCTGTGCAATCGGTAGTCTGATATGAGCTTTACGTATATTATAGAATTTCAGTACTAGCAGTGAATTTCAGAACACAGCCTATGTCTACGCGTCATTGGTCCCGGTGGAAAATCAAATAAATGACGTCATGCAAATAGGCGCCATTTACATATACATGGGGAGTTATATATGGCTGATATTCATAGTCGAATCTTATATTTAAAACTGTCTTAAATTGGACTCTGCTTGTCAGTTGAAACTGTTTGTTGAGTGTTGAATTGCAGAAGAGAAAACAAAAGCACGAAAATGAGTAATTCAACTATTTCAGATCAGTCGCTAATGGATAAATCGATGCGAAGTGTTTTCGGTGAGTAAATTAATTTCGCAATTAGTCTTAATAACTATGTACAATATTGTTTTGCAGTCGGGAATATCCCGTACGAGGCTACGGAAGAGAATCTGAAGGATATCTTTAGTGAAGTTGGACCAGTGCTTTCTTTCAAGTGAGTTAATTGTATTTTTTTTTTCTTTTACTGGATATCTTGTTTGCTATTCTAAATTCTTCATGTAACTATGAAAGTAATATATGGATCTCACTTACATATACAATCTTCCAATTGTTACAATAGATTAGTCTTTGATCGTGAGACTGGCAAGCCTAAGGGATATGGCTTCTGTGAATACAAGGATCAAGAGACAGCCTTAAGTGCTATGAGAAATTTAAATGGATATGAGATCGGTGGGAGAACATTGCGTGTAGACAATGCATGCACTGAAAAGAGTCGAATGGAAATGCAGAGCTTATTACAAGGACAGAATACTGAGAATCCTTATGGAGAAGCTGTTCAATCAGACAAAGCACCAGAGGCAATCAGCAAAGCTGTGGCATCTTTGCCACCAGAACAGATGTTTGAGCTGATGAAACAGATGAAACTTTGTGTGCAAAATAATCCCAATGAAGCACGCCAAATGCTTCTGCAAAATCCTCAATTGGCATATGCTCTACTTCAAGCTCAAGTGGTGATGAGAATAGTGGATCCTCATACAGCAGTCAGTATGTTACACAAGGCTAATCCTATCCCAGGTGTGTTAACGCCAACAGACAAACCTGTGGTACATCCTATTCAGCCACGAATCGAGGAACCATGGGCACCACGACCTGCACCAGCTGTCAATGCTCCTGCACCTATTTTTGCTGGTAAGAAAAAATAAATAATTAGAATATACTTTGCTCTGGTGATATTTGCTCAGTCTAATATATCAAAGCTATATATAACATTGAAATATTACAGTTTTATTATCTGAATAATATAACAAAATTCTTATATAGCTAAATTTATATCAATATAGCTAAATATTCAGTTATTAACTGATTAATATAGCTGAATTATAACTTTATTATCTTATATTGTTTATTATCTTTAATTGCTATGATATAAAAGATAAAAGATTTTATTTAATATTTAATCGAAACAGGTCAAGACGTGGATCTTCGAACATTGGACAGACAAATGGATCCACGCCTAGTCAGGATGGATCAGGATCTGAGAGCGCCTCCTCAGACACAGCCTACGCCGGTTAGCGCACCACCGGTAATACCGGCTGCTGCTGACCCGAGAGCTTCCAATACGTTTAATCTTACAGATAAGTATGTTATCTCGCAGTTATTTGCCAACAAATTCGCTATAAGTCGCATAACTGAAAGAGCCGCTCTTTTTTGCAGCAGCATTCCTGTGGAGGGAGTTGAGAGGTGTTTAATATATACATATTTAAAATATAGTTCTGAAATCGCTATTCATTATTGTATTAAATCATCATCATCGTTTTCAGCTTTTGTCGCGACCCAAGAGCTGACAGATTTGGCAGAGATCCAAGAGATCCTAGAGACCCAAGGATGCCCATCGATCCTAGAATTACCAAAGCCAATCGTATGTTTAGCAAAAGTTCCTTTTGATCGTACGCATTTTATAGTTATATAAGTCAATTAACTTCAATGTGTGCCTATGATGAATCTGCAATTATCACAATTTAATGAATTAATTTTATAATGAATTGTTATATTTTTTAACATTTTATTATGAAATTTTCAACTAGCCGTTCCTGTCGCGCCACCAATTGTACCACGACCGGTTGCCGCACCAACTGTACCAACGCCAAGTACTGTAACGGGTAATACGATTGGTTCTGCCGTAGTGCTCTCGCAATCCGCGAGTTCCGCCACTTCGAGACTCATGGCTGGAATGTCTCCAGCGGGAAATATTCCCAGCGGTGCGTCAGATCAAGAAAAGGTAAGTCACACATATTCACGCACAGAAAAAATTTATATATATATATAAAGAAGAAAACTTATCTATAGCATTAAATACTTTTATTAAAATACAAATTAAGTTTTATTTGCATTTTCAAATCGTCAAAGAAAATCCAATGTAATCGCAATTTCTCTATGCAATCATTTTTTGAAAAAATTAAATACGGAAACATGTATTTGAAACTTATGTTCAAACTTAATCATATTTTGGTTATATACATTAAAAATAAAAAAGAAAAATATTAAATAACTATATAGGATATCCTAATATTATATAGTATATTTTAATAGTGTTTTCTAAAGCTTAATTAACGGTTTATTAATTTCATATTTTATATTTATAAAACTTATGATTATATACAGGATGTCTCACATTCTCTTCCGGGCATTTTGTGGGGATGTAGAATGAGTTGATATGAACATAAAAGTCCTGTACCATTTTGCGATATTCGCAATAATTATCGAGATATTAATTGTAGAAAATTTATGAATAATCATGTAGGATATGGTAAATGAGTTAAAATAGCGACGACTGCCGTTGTGTACTTATACTTTAGGTTAAATTGAACAAAAAAGTCCTCTACCATTTTACAAATAATCACATAGATTTTTTGGAGTATAAGTACACGACGGCAGTCGTCGCTATTTTAACTCATTTACCATATCCTACATGATCATTCACAAATTTTCTACAATTAATATCTCGATAATTATTGCGAATATCGCAAAACGGTATAGGACTTTTATGTTCACATCAACCCATTCTACCCACAAAATGCCCGGAAGAGAGTGCGAGACACTCTGTATATATATACATACTATATATATATATATATATATATATATATATATATATATATATATATATATATATATATATATA